GCACCCGTCGCGTGCACCCCTCGCGTGCACCCCTCGCGTGCACCCCTCGCGTGCACCCCTCGCGTGCGCCCCTCGCGTGCACCCCTCGCGTGCTCCCCTCGCGTGCACCCCTCGCGTGCACCCCTCGCGTGCACCCCTCGCGTGCTCCCCTCGCGTGCGCGTGCACCCCTCGCCTGCTCCCCTCGCGTGCACCCCTCGCGTGCACCCCTCGCATGCACCCCTCGCGTGCACCCCTCGCGTGCACCCCTCGCGTGCACCCCTCGCGTGCACCCCTCGCGTGCTCCCCTCGCGTGCACCCCTCGCGTGCACCCCTCGCGTGCACCCCTCGCGTGCTCCCCTCGCATGCACCCCTCGCGTGCACCCCTCGCGTGCACCCCTCGCGTGCACCCCTCGCGTGCACCCCTCGCGTGCACCCCTCGCGTGCACCCATCGCGTGCACCCCTCGCGTGCACCCCTCGCATGCACCCCTCGCGTGCACCCCTCGCGTGCACCCCTCGCGTGCACCCCTCGCGTGCACCCCTCGCGTGCACCCCTCGCGTGCACCCCTCGCGTGCACCCCTCGCGTGCACCCCTCGCGTGCACCCCTCGCGTGCACCCCTCGCGTGCTCCCCTCGCGTGCGCGTGCACCCCTCGCGTGCTCCCCTCGCGTGCGCGTGCACCCCTCGCGTGCTCTCCTCGCGTGCACCCCTCGCGTGCACCCCTCGCGTGCACCCCTCGCGTGCACCCCTCGCGTGCACCCCTCGCGTGCTCCCCTCGCGTGCGCGTGCACCCCTCGCGTGCTCCCCTCGCGTGCGCGTGCACCCCTCGCGTGCACCCCTCAAACCTGACGTCAAACCTGCACCTCAAACCTGACCTCAAACCTGCACCTCAAACCTGACGTCAAACCTGCACGTCTAACCTGCACGTCAAACCTGCACCTCAAACCTGCACCTCAAGCCTGCACCTCAAACCTGCACCTCAAACCTGCACCTCAAACCTGCACCTCAAACTTGCACCTCAAACCAGCACCTCAAACCTGCACCTCAAACCTGCACCTCAAACCTGCACCTCAAACCTGCACCTCAAACCAGCACCTCAAACCTGCACCTCAAACCTGCACCTCAAACCTGCACCTCAATCCTGCACCTCAAACCTGACGTCAAACCTGCACCTCAAACCTGACGTCAAACCTGCACCTCAAACCTGACGTCAAACCTGCTCCTCAAACCTGACGTCAAACCTGGACCTCAAACCTGACATCAAACCTGCACCTCAAACCTGACGTCAAACCTGCACCTCAAACCTGCACCTCAAACCTGACGTCAAACCTGCACCTCAAACCTGCACCTCAAACCTGACGTCAAACCTGCACCTCAAACCTGACGTCAAACCCGCACCTCAAACCTGACGTCAAACCTGCACCTCAAACCTGACATCAAACCTGCACCTCAAACCTGCACCTCAAACCTGCACGTCAAACCTGCACCTCAAACCTGACGTCAAACCTGCACCTCAAACCTGCACCTGAAACCTGACGTCAAACCTGCACCTCAAACCTGACGTCAAACCCGCACCTCAAACCTGACGTCAAACCTGCACCTCAAACCTGACGTCAAACCTGCACCTCAAACCTGACGTCAAACCTGCACCTCAAACCTGACGTCAAACCTGCACCTCAAACCTGACGTCAAACCTGCACCTCAAACCTGCACCTCAAACCTGACGTCAAACCTGCACCTCAAACCTGACGTCAAACCTGCACCTCAAACCTGCACCTCAAACCTGCACCTCAAACCTGCACCTTAAAACTGACGTCAAACCTGCACCTCAAACCTGACGTCAAACCTGCAACCAAACCTGACGTCAAACCTGCACCTCAAACCTGACGTCAAACCTGCACCTCAAACCTGACGTCAAACCTGCACCTCAAACCTGCACCTCAAACCTGACGTCAAACCTGCACCTCAAACCTGCACGTCAAACCTGCACCTCAAACCTGACGTCAAACCTGCACCTCAAACCTGCATCTCAAACCTGACGTCAAACCTGCACCTCAAACCTGACGTCAAACCTGCACCTCAAACCTGCACCTCAAACCTGCACCTCAAACCTGCACCTTAAAACTGACGTCAAACCTGCACCTCAAACCTGACGTCAAACCTGCAACCAAACCTGACGTCAAACCTGCACCTCAAACCTGACGTCAAACCTGCACCTCAAACCTGACGTCAAACCTGCACCTCAAACCTGCACCTCAAACCTGACGTCAAACCTGCACCTCAAACCTGCACGTCAAACCTGCACCTCAAACCTGACGTCAAACCTGCACCTCAAACCTGCACCTCAAACCTGACGTCAAACCTGCACCTCAAACCTGCACCTCAAACCGGCACCTCAAACCTGCACCTCAAACCTGCACCTCAAACCTGACGTCAAACCTGCATGCACCTCAAACCTGACGTCAAACCTGCACCTCAAACCTGACGTCAAACCTGCACCTCAAACCTGCACCTCAAACCTGCACCTCAAACCTGACGTCAAACCTGCACCTCAAACCTGCACCTCAAACCTGACGTCAAACCTGCACCCAAACCTGACGTCAAACCTGCACCTCAAACCTGCACCTCAAACCTGACGTCAAACCTGCACCTCAAACCTGCACCTCAAACCGGCACCTCAAACCTGCACCTCAAACCTGCACCTCAAACCTGCACCTCAAACCTGCACCTCAAACCTGCACGTCAAACCTGCACCTCAAACCTGCACCTTAAACCTGCACCTCAAACCTGCACGTCAAACCTGCACCTCAAACCTGCACCTCAAACCTGCACCTCAAACCTGCACCTCAAACCTCCACCTCAAACCTGCACCTTAAACCTGCACCTCAAACCGGCACCTCAAGCCTGCACGTCAAACCTGCACCTCAAACCTGCACCTCAAACCTGCACCTCAAACCTGACGTCAAACCTGCACCTCAAACCTGCACCTCAAACCGGCACCTCAAGCCTGACGTCAAACCTGCACCTCAAACCTGCACCTCAAACCTGACGTCAAACCTGCACCCAAACCTGACGTCAAACCTGCACCTCAAACGTGCACCTCAAACCTGACGTCAAACCTGCACCTCAAACCTGCACCTCAAACCGGCACCTCAAACCTGCACCTCAAACCTGCACCTCAAACCTGCACGTCAAACCTGCACCTCAAACCTGCACCTTAAACCTGCACCTCAAACCTGCACGTCAAACCTGCACCTCAAACCTGCACCTCAAACCTGCACCTCAAACCTGCACCTCAAACCTCCACCTCAAACCTGCACCTCAAACCTGCACGTCAAACCGGCACCTCAAGCCTGCACGTCAAACCTGCACCTCAAACCTGCACCTCAAACCTGCACCTCAAACCTGCACCTCAAACCTCCACCTCAAACCTGCACCTCAAACCTGCACGTCAAACCGGCACCTCAAGCCTGCACCTCAAACCTGCACCTCAAACCTGCAACTCAAACCTGCACCTCAAACCTGACGTCAAACCTGCATGCACCTCAAACCTGACGTCAAACCTGCACCTCAAACCTGACGTCAAACCTGCACCTCAAACCTGCATCTCAAACCTGCACCTCAAACCTGACGTCAAACCTGCACCTCAAACCTGCACCTCAAACCTGACGTCAAACCTGCACCCAAACCTGACGTCAAACCTGCACCTCAAACCTGCACCTCAAACCTGACGTCAAACCTGCACCTCAAACCTGCACCTCAAACCGGCACCTCAAACCTGCACCTCAAACCTGCACCTCAAACCTGCACCTCAAACCTGCACCTCAAACCTGCACGTCAAACCTGCACCTCAAACCTGCACCTTAAACCTGCACCTCAAACCTGCACGTCAAACCTGCACCTCAAACCTGCACCTCAAACCTGCACCTCAAACCTGCACCTCAAACCTCCACCTCAAACCTGCACCTTAAACCTGCACCTCAAACCGGCACCTCAAGCCTGCACGTCAAACCTGCACCTCAAACCTGCACCTCAAACCTGCACCTCAAACCTGACGTCAAACCTGCACCTCAAACCTGCACCTCAAACCGGCACCTCAAGCCTGACGTCAAACCTGCACCTCAAACCTGCACCTCAAACCTGACGTCAAACCTGCACCCAAACCTGACGTCAAACCTGCACCTCAAACCTGCACCTCAAACCTGACGTCAAACCTGCACCTCAAACCTGCACCTCAAACCGGCACCTCAAACCTGCACCTCAAACCTGCACCTCAAACCTGCACGTCAAACCTGCACCTCAAACCTGCACCTTAAACCTGCACCTCAAACCTGCACGTCAAACCTGCACCTCAAACCTGCACCTCAAACCTGCACCTCAAACCTGCACCTCAAACCTCCACCTCAAACCTGCACCTCAAACCTGCACGTCAAACCGGCACCTCAAGCCTGCACGTCAAACCTGCACCTCAAACCTGCACCTCAAACCTGCACCTCAAACCTGCACCTCAAACCTGCACCTCAAACCTGCACGTCAAACCGGCACCACAAGCCTGCACCTCAAACCTGCACCTCAAACCTGCACCTCAAACCTGCACCTCAAACCTGCAACTCAAACCTGCACCTCAAACCTGCACCATAGGGTCGAGTTTCAAATTGGGCCTGAGCCAAAAAGAACTCGACAAGTTTTACTTGACTTGAGTCAGTGGACAAAAAAGATTGTTAAAGCAAGTCGAGTAAAACTCGACTCGTCATTTGCCCATGTATAGGCTGAGAGGGCTGGGAGGGGGGGGAGTGGGCAGTGCGAGCAAGCAGCTGACGTGGAGCCCTTTGTCTGCCCACCGTGAGTGCCTCGGTTATTTTTAACAGTTGGGGCACTTTCTCAACCGCACTGCATCCCTCCCCCCACCCACCATCCGAATTTGGTGCATGTTACGCTCTGCGAGTGCAATACGTCCCTCGCCTGGGCACTTTCTCAACCGCACTGCATCTCTCTTTCCGCCATCCCCGCACCCACCATCAGGGCTGGGCGCGTTTGACTTTGTGCGGGTGGGGTACGACCCAGGCTGGCCTGCCAGCGTGGTGATAACGCCCCCGCTGCTGCAGCAGTATGCAGATATTCTCGCTGCACTGCTCAGGCTGCACCATGTGCAGCGGGCCGTTGAAAATCTCACCGTTCACGTCAAGGTAGGCCAATCTTGGGGCTATAATCTTGTAAGCCTGCCAGCGTGGTGATAACGCCCCAGCTGCTGCAGCAGGATGGGGACATGCTCACGGCGCTGATCAGACTGCAGCACGTGCAGCGGGCGATTGACAACCTTACCATTCACGTCAAGGTAGGCCACTCTTGAGACGCCTCGAATGCCTGCCAGCGTGGTGAGAAGGCCAAACCTGGTGCAGCAGTATGGAGACACGCTCACTGCGTTGATCAGGCTGCTGCAGCACGTGCAGAGGGCCATCAGCAGCCTCACCATTCACATCAAGGTAGGCCCTGGTTTCTGACTTTCGCATTGGTACCATGCGCACATGGCAGAGATGGCAGCGGCAACATCAGTCTTTATCAGGGCTGATGCGGAGTAACATGTCCACATCATGTCAATGTCCACGTCATGTCAATGTCCACTGCATCATGCTGGTCGCTTGCTCTGACCTGACCCATCATGTGTTCTTTTCCCGGTCAGCCATTCTACGCAGGAGCATATTCTTGTGCTCCATAGCACTAAGAATCATGCTGCATCATGCCGTGTCATTGTCATTGCTACATCTTGCTGTTCCTATTCATACCCCTGCTTCCTGTCAGGTCCTCCGTTCAGCGTGGTTGAACCCGTTGCTAGCACCAGCAGCAGAAGCAGCAGCAGCGGGCAGGGCCGTGCACAGGGAGCGGTATTGGCGGCTGTGCGTCCTCAACGTGTTCACGTGAGAGCCCCTCCCTCGCCTGCTGTATCTGAGCTGGTCCGTAACCCCAGCATGCGCGCATTGCAACTGGTTTGGGGCGTTCTGGCCTTCATGAATCATGAGTGCTCAGGTGCACCGAGCAGCACTGCATGGAGGGCAGGCACGCCCTTCCCGTCACTCACCGCTTCCTGTATTTGTTCGCCCTCCTGTTCTCTTCCCCTCCTTTCCCCCCCCCAGCATGCGTGCAGCACAGCTCGTGTCCTGCATGCTCGCCTTCATGAGCGCTCAGCTGCAGCGAGCAGTGCAGCATGGCGACCAGATACTGCTGCTGGGCACTCAGGCAGAACACAAGCCCCATCTGGTGGGTCTGGGTCTTCCTTGGGTATAATATTTAGGAACTTCAAACATAGATTCTCGCTTAATGACTGCTCAGATGCAGGGAGCAGCGCAGCAGGTTGACCAGATTCTGCTGCTGGGCACTCACTCACGACTCCTCAACACACAACCCCACTTGGTGGGTCTGGGACTTACGTGGGAATGTGTCTCAGGTTTATCGGGGAGAAGCGCAAGCACCCAGGGGTGGGTGTGAGCCTCAACTGGAGCGAGTCTCATGCACTCTGAGAGTTCCCGGCTTGGCGTTTCGGGCTAGATCGAGTCCGATTGGACCCATTATATGCCCCGTGCTTTTCACCTTTCGTCTAACCGTAATCCTTCCTTTTCCCCTTCCCTTGTTCCTCCTTCACTTGTGCCACTTCACCTCACAGGACCTGTTCTCATTCCAGGAGGCACATGCACAGTTTCTGCTTTACTGCACAACCAGGTACTTTCTCCTCCCTCGTTCCCCATTCCCATTTCACCTTCGTTATGATGCCATATAACAATATATTATTATCTATAACTTCCTATCATCGCCCTTCCTGTCTACCGTGCCTGCCAGGTGTCTGCTAGACGCTCGCAGTGCGCCCATGAGGGAGCGACTAGACAGCCTGCTGCAGCTGGTGCTGGACGTGCATCGCAGCGTTGACTCTGCCCGCATGGTGGCCCCTCTCTCAAAGTTTTTTCTCGACGACGATGCTCCCATCTGGGAAGAGGTGAGAGATTCAGTTTCCCTTGAGAGAGGCACTTCTGAATAGACAGTCTGCTGCAGCTGGATCTGGATGTGCATCGCACTGTGGCCTCTGCCCCTATGGTCGCCCCACGTTCAGAGTTCTTCCTGGACGACGACGATGCTCCCACCTGGGAAGAGCTGAGGGATGTTCCAGCTTAAGACGTCAAGGAAATAACTTGCTACATGTGGTTCTGGATGTGCATCGCGGTGTGGACTCTGCCCCCATGCTCGCCCCACTCTCGAGGTTCTTCATCGATGCTGCTCCCATTTGGGAGGAGGTGAGGGATGTCCCGAGTAACTCTCGAGGTGTCTCACAAGTAACCTGCTGCAGCTGGATCTGGATGTGCATCGCACTGTGGCCTCACCTCGCTTGCTCGCCCCGCTCTCGGGGTTCTTCCTGGTGCTCCCATTTGGGAGGGTTGAGGGATGTAGCAACCCTTTTGACACCGTGCTCGCCTTTTTCACTTGCTTGTGCTTGTTGTGGTTGTGGTGCAGGTGCAGTTCAACGAGGCCTTGGATGACTTGTTCGATTTGGTAGCTCGTGGTCATGCTTGTTCTCACAATGTCATGTCATGTTTGTGCTTGGGATGGTGTGGTGCAGGTGGAGGAGCAAGTGGGGGAGTTCAACGAAGCACTCAATGACTTGCTGGATTTTCTCTCGCGCAAGCAGGAGGTTTCTCGTCCTGAAAAGCGCCTTCTCAAATGCCTCATATTTCTCAAATCAAATAAACCAGACTTAGCACGTGGCTGCACTCTGTTGTGCAATAAATGAGGTCGAATGGCTCATGCTTTGTTGTATATTCTTTGTAAAGAAGTTAGACTAATCACCAGATGAAAGCTTATAGCTTAGTACGAGTTGCGCGTGGGTGCGAGCGCTCAAATTTCTGCAGCTCTTTTTGCCCGCCAGAGGCTTCCTCACTTGCCTGATCACTTCAGCAGAGACGCCATTAGTTCAGTCGAACGCATCGCGCGTGACCTAAGTTCATCCGACGCGCAGTTACCTTCCCCTTCGTCCTCACTCACCCATTCCTCCGCATCCTCGGTCAAACGACTTGGAGAAATTCAGCAATGGCAAGCGACAGCTTCGGCATCTGCAGCAGCGGCAGCGTCAGCACTAGGCGAACGCGAGTAGAGCAGCTAGAGCGACTTCAGGTGTGCCTCGGGACATTACACGGTTTCACCATCCGTTCCCTCTCACTCCGTTTCCTCAATTCGCGATGCTCTCGTTTAAATTTTGCCTTTTCACGTTACTCGTTGCCACGTACCGGCCCCACTCAACCCTCCGCATCGCGCGTCCATGGAGGCGCTTGGTACGTCGAAAGTTAGAATGAGCTGTCATTCTGCCGTCAATCCCGCCCGCCTATCAGGAGCTGTCGCGCCTGCGGAGGAATCTCGCGGGAGCCAAGCCTGTCAGCTCGAATCCCAGGGATCAACCTGCACACTCGGCAATCCCAAGGACGTATACAGGCTCGGAAGCAAGGGAGGGCATGAGGCGGCGAATTCAGCTGACTCAGCCATGCGGGGAAGCACCGGGGGAGGGCAGAGATGGGGAAGGTAGAGCAGGGGAAGGCAGAACGGGGGAAGGCTGCAGAGGCAGAAGCGGGTCAGATGCAGAACCCGGGGGACAAGGGGTGTGCGCAGAGCCTGGGGGGGTTGGTAGGGCTGGGGTTGGCAACACAGTGCCAGCACGGGAGGAGGCAGAAGTAAGGTGCGGGAGTGGTGCGGAGCGGTGCAGTGAGGCGCAGAGGGTAGGGTTCTGTCTGCAAGGGGAGGATGCAGTGAGGGGTGGGAGAGTGAGAGGTCGGCCGTTGGTGGCGGCGGTACCTGTGGCAAGCCGGCAAAGCACAGGCAGAACAAGCACAAGCAGAACAAGCACAGGCAGAACAAGCACAGGCAGAACAAGCACAAGCACGAGCACGAGCGTGGACATGAGCGTGGGGATGAGCATGCACACGAGCATGGGGCGGTTTCAAGCCACCCCTCACGGCACATTGGGGAGGGAGGTAAGCAGCTGTGAGGCGTCATTTGATGGTATAGGGTCAGCCCGTGATCGTTGGTTGTGGGTGGTTTGTTCGTGCAGTTTGTTCCGTCTATGTTGGGTTGTGTGTATGTGCTAGTGCTCGTGGGCCCTCATGTTTGCACCTTCTCTCCCCGTCACATGCTGCCCATCTTCTCATAATCCCACCTCCTGTGTGCTCCCCATGCTCCCCATGCTTCTTTCACATGCTTCTATGTGCTCCCCATACCCCACACGCGATCCCACGTGCTTTCCAGACAAAGCTAGGCCGCAGGATGGAGGCGACCCTAAGGTCTGGTGACCATGCTTCTTATGCTCACGTACCCCTTACGTGCTTCCCACACCAAGCTGGATCGCGGGTTCGAGGCTGCATTACAGCACAGTTACCATGCTCCTTATGCTCGTGCTCCACACGTGCTCCCCACGTGCTCCCCACGTGCACCCCAACCCCATGCTATCCACCCGCGTCCCAGACAGAGCTGGATCGCAGGTTGGAGGCGGCCCTTCGAGCTGGCGACCATGCAGCAGCGCAGCAGGTGAACGAGGCGATTATGAGGAGGGAGAGCGTGCGGCGGCAGAGACAGGCAGAGTGGCAGATGCAGCTCGCAACAAGCTTGCAGGTGGGCAGAGAGACGCAGAGTGAGTGGCACTTGCAGGTTGCAGCCATACGGTCTGGTGTTCATGCGGCTCGCCAGCAATCTTGCGGTGAGCTGAGAGGCAGAGTGAGTGGCACGCGGAGCTTTAGCATGTCAAGGATTGCTGCAAAAGGAGCTGGAACGTTTCTGCAATAAACCCATATCCTTGTCGGCAGCTTTCCTCAATGCACATCCACCCTTTGCATTGCCACAAGAGCAGGAATTGGCGCGGCGCAAGAAACGGCAGCGACTGAACTGGGGGTGAGATTCATCTTCCATTTTAGCTGGTCATGGGAGTAATACTTTTGCGCTCTACTGATCAGTTTGCATCGCGCTTCTCTGCGTTATCTTGTGCAGGATGGATGTGCTGCGCAAGTCAGAAGGAAAGGGCAACATGTGAAAGAGATTCTGTTGTAATTGATGATTGTGACGTTTTTTTGTATTTTCTGAATGTGTCAGGCCAACAACCTGGGTACGATGAAGTCACTAACACGAAGCGAAGCTTTCCGCGACGGATGTGTTGAGCTATCACGTCCGAGGATTTGAGAAGTGCCCCAAAAATAGACGGCTGCGATGAATCCAGAATGGAAACTATCACTTCCAATTACGCGATTCGACTTAATGGTGGAAGTGAAATTGGGCGCTCCGGGATTTTCACATGTCCAATGTCCAGCAACACCTGTTCTCCAACGTCTCGTCTCCGCAGTTTGCTTCACAAATGTATAGCGCGAAGCTCATTACTATTTATGTCTGCTTGCGTATCCGCCGCGTTGACCATCTATCTACCATCTCTCGACGGCCTTCTCTCTCGCGAAAATAGGCCCCTCTTTTCCTCATTTCCATATCCTACAAAATCGAACTTAAAATAACTGAGAACCATTCGAAACTGCAACCGTGAAATGGACACGTTCTCAGCAACAAAACTCCGCTGTTCAAAATCGACTAGAAGCCTTATCCATGCTTCCCAGGTCACAGCTGCGCAGGTTGAGCCATGCGGATTGGTCCAGAAAACCACTCTTTCCAAGCTTACAAAGTGTGGTTCACCTAGATGGCGGTGCCACGTAGGCCACAGAAGTGTTAGCTGTAGATCCTCTGGTGCAAGAGCGAACAGGTCTACCGCCACGACCGCCGCGACCGTGGTTGCGGCACGGACGGCGACGATCTTTGGGGGGTGCTTTCGAGCTTCTGGTAGCGCTTTGTCAGCGTGGCGGTCCGTGGCCCTGCGCAAGAATACGACGCGGAGCGAGGGAGAGGGTAGAGCGGCGCGCGGAGTTAGAGTGACGGCCACGTGTAAGCCTCTCGGTGGGCCGGCGGGCAAAGGGGGGGGTAGGACAACCGGCGACGTGGAGAAGTTTCCGGGAGGAATGTGAGAAGTTTCGTGGAGAAGGTCCGCGCGTTCCCGGAGCTCGCACGCTCCATCCAATCTCCTGTCCCTATTTCCCCAACCTTCTCCCTTTCTCCCCCGCCCCTCCCGCCTCAACCCCATTCCCCCCTCCCTCCTCCTCCCGCCTTCTTCCCGCGCACCCACCGCGCCTTCCCCTCGCTCCCCGCACGCACCGCGCATTTTCCCGATCCCCAGGGGACGTGGTGAGTCGCGGAGTGGACCGCGCGTTCACGGAGCTGGCGGAGCTGGACCAATCGGAGACGCCGGGGAGCGACGGGCGGCAGGTGATCAACGTGCCCGAGCTCTACACCGGCATTCTCATTGTGTACGAGTGAGTGCTCATCGCGTTGATTGCAAAAGTGTAAGTGGTGCTTGTTGCGTACGGGTGAGTACCTGTAGTGCTCAAGCTGGATGCTTTACGCGCAGCACCGCAATCAAGCACCGTTCGAGCATCGAACGTTACATCTCCTCCCACTTCCCCCCCTCTTCCGTCCCCACGCGCGCTACGCAGCCACGTGAACCAGCTGGTGCCGGGGATGCACATCAAACCACCGTCCAAAAAACAAGTCATTCAACTCGTGCAGGTACTACTTCCAACTGCATGCATTGGAATGCCTTGTGAGAATTCTCAAAAGGGTATCCGTTATTCAGCTCGAGCAGGTACGTCAGGATCAAATTGTATCCATTCCATCATAGCTCACCATTTTTCTGCTCTCCATCTGCCCTGCCAAGCTTCTCATCTACCTCTTTCGCTCGTCCAACCATTCCCATCATCACCTCCATTCACAACGTGCCAACATGCCAGCACTACCGTATTAGTTCGAGTCGTTTCTCGTTTATCCATTCCGCATTTGCACTCTGGCTGCAGGATTACGACATCAACCACGACGGCGTGTTGGATAGGGAGGAGTTCGGCGAGCTCGTACGGCACTTCGCGCGCACCGTCGTGGCACGAGTGCTGCTCAACGTCCTTCTCATTTTCTCTCTCGTGCCCTTCGTCGTTTCGCTCGCTAGCAACCTCGCGGAAACGTTTGGATGGGAGCTACCTGAAGCGATTGCTGCAACTGTACTCACGTTGCTCGTAAAGATGGCTGGAGTGTAAATGTTTGTTCCCTTCTGTTGTCAGCAAGGCACGTTACTAGCGATGTATATAAATGTTTTCCAGGTTACCTACCAGCTGTGCAGGGAATCTGGGAGGGATGTAGTGAACTGTGTCGATACAGAAAATTTGTCCATGGATTCATATCAATCGTCGTTGCATAGCATTCTGGTCATTGTGTGCATGACATATTTACTGCTACTAGACGGTTTTCTGTATGTTGTTTTTTAATTTTTGGAGGCAAAATTTTGGATACAGCTCTACGGCGAGAAGAAAAGCATCTCACGACGGGGACAATGCACGTTCAATGAATTTACGTGATCAGACAAGTGCCCCATTTCCATTTCCATTTACATTTTGGGCGCTCCGAGTAATCCGAAGCCGCAAGTTGGGCAAACTGGTTGCATGTCCAGCAGCAGTTGGGTTGGGTACATAGCCAACACTTCATCAGCACTTCTTTTCTGTGCAAGCCAGAAAAGTGATTCACTTCTGCTTCACACTTGCGCCGTCTTGACCTATCCATTACCTATCGGCCTTCTCCTTCGCGGGTATAAGTTCCTCTCCCGCATCTTTTGACGGTTTGCTAAGCTTATTAGAAGGCTTCGAAACTGCAATTGTGAAATGGACACGCTTTCTGCGACGAGGCTCAATTCCCCAAGATCGACGAGCAGTCAGGTGGCAGCGGCGCAGGTTAAATCGTGCGGTATACCCCAATGGCGGTGCCGCGTAAGCCACGCCGGCGTTAGCTGTAGGTCCACGGGGGCAGGACTGGGCGGGTATACCGCCGTGACCGCCGGCAACGTGGCGGCTGCACGGGAAGGCCTATTCGGGGAGCGCTGTTGGGCGTCTGGGAGCGCTTTGTCGCCATGGCGGTCCGCCGCCCTTCGCGGGCATTCGATGCGGCGCGGGGGAGACGGTAGAGCGACGCGCGGAGTTGAAGTGACGGCCACGTGTAAGCCGCTAGGGGCTTGAAAGGTGGAACGGCGAGAGGCGATGGCGGGAGCGAGAGGAGGCAATGTGTGGGGGCGGTAGATCGGCGAGTCGCAGCGTCAGCAGGGCGTTTCAGGATTTTCCCTTCCCACACTAGCGCGCACATCCATAACTCTCCCCTCCCTCTCCCCACCCTTCCCCCTCCCCGCCCTCCCCCGCTCCCGCCCTGCGCCTTCCCCCGGATAATCCCAGGGGACGTGGTGAGTCGCGGAGTGGACCGCGCGTTTACAGAGCTTTCTGAGTTGGACGAGACGCCGGGGAGCGACGGGCGGCAGGTGATCAACGTGCCCGAGCTCTACACGGGCATTCTCATTGTGTACGAGTGAGTGCTGTTTTGGGTTGCTCGAGTACAAGTGTGCACTCTTTGCGTACTAGCGCTGCCTGCAATGCTCGAGCTGGTTACGTTCCAACCCGCGTCGCAAGCCAGCACTGGTTTAAGCTTCAACCGTTACATCTCTCCTCCCTGTTTCCCGCTGGCCACATCTCTCACAGCAACGTGAATTCGATCGTGCCCGGGACGCACATCAGCCCGCCTTCCAAGAAGCAAGTTGTCCAGCTCGTACAGGTACAACTGGTGCAGGTACTTCTGTTCCGTACTTAATCTGTCTGTATCCAATCCATAGTAAGGCACTGTCGACCTCTTCCCTCGTCCCATCCCACCACTTCTTAGTCGTCATGTCCGTTCAAAGCATGCTAACGTTCGATTGACGGCCTGCTTTCTCGTTCAGGATTACGACATCAACCACGACGGCGTGTTGGACAGGGAGGAGTTCGGCGAACTCGTGCGACACTTCGCACGCACCGTCGTGGTGCGAGTGCTGCTCAACCTCGTCGTCATCTTCTCGCTCGTGCCCTTGCTCGTGTCCCTCGCGAAAAAGCTCGCGCATAAGGTTGGCTGGAAACTACCAGAAGCAATTGCAGCAACCCTGTTCACGTTGCTTATTAAAATGACAGGAGTGTGATGAGTTGTATTTACATCAAGCAAAGTGTTTGTGCTGTATCGAAGTGATAAGCTATTCAGATATTGTGCTGGCTAGAGCCAAAAAGGTCAGAATGGCATGATGTTTAGAGATGTCTCTACAGATGATTACAACATGCAACAACGCCTACCACAGATAACATGCTTTCTAAGTTTCCTGTACCTACATACCCTGTGGTTAATGACCGTTGAGAGGACGGACCATCTTATTCTTCTACTGGTGCCGAACTAGCTAAGAATCCACCTTCCACCTTATTTACACGTCCACAGCTCCCAGTCTGCACAGCATCACCTCCAGCACAAGACGTACCTGCAGCAGCATCAGCAGCATCAGGGATGGGACCAGGGAATAAGGGCATGAGAAAACCTCCCAGGGCGTATGACACGGAAGCAGCGTCACCCGCCACCGCCACGGGAGCTTCAAGCACTGCTGCTGCCAGCGGCGCTTCAGGTGCTGCTGCTGCTGCTGCAGAGAATGCACCCGCTCCCTGTTGGGCTAGGGGCAGCGGGTCAATCTTTCGTCGGGCCGTTGGCGCTGCTGTCCCTGAAACTTCCCCCCACTCCAGTCCACCTTTGGTCTCATTTGGATCCACAAGCGCTCTTTTCTTGCTCCACCCCTGCGCTCCATCACTCTCCATCACGTCGGCCAAACCACCCATGCCGCTCAAGCCACTCCAGCCGCTCAAGCCACCATCCCTGTGACTCCCCTGGTCTTCTTCGATGTTGTGAATGCGCGCTCCTCTCTCCGACCCATCCTCTTCCTCCCCTCTCCCCGAACCCTCGTCCTCTCTTCCTCCCGAGTCACCTCTGTCACCTTCTGTTTCCGCACAGTCATGATCCGTCTCACTTGTAACATAGCGAAAATCGGCGACAGCGGCCATCTGTTCGCGCAGCAGAAGAATCTCCTCCCCTTGCCTCTCGACCTCGGCCCTTAAACTCTCTACCTCCTCCTCCTCGTACCGCGCTTTCTCGACTAAGATTCTCTCTCTCTGCCGGGCGGCTAACTGGTCGGCAGCTTTGTCGTCTTGCAGCCGTCGGATCGACTCCATGCTCGCCATCGCAGCGCTGTCCGCTGCTGCCCGCTCCTGCTCCAGCTCCCGTCGCAGACTGTCGCTCAGCACCCACTCTTGCTCCAGCTCTTGTCGCAAAGCGTCGCATGTCGCTCGCGCTTGCTGGAGCTCGTGTCGCAGTTCGTCGTTTTCTTGCGCGTGCAGCTCGCCAGACGTACCCGCTGCGATAGTCCTGTTGCGCCCTTCGCCTCCTCTTCTTGTTACAAGGTCCTCTTCGCTTGCTGCTGTGGCGAGATTCGCAACAGCCCGCGCCTCCTCAACCCATCGCCTCATGTTCTCCTCGTCCCATAACCTACCGGGAGAAGATTTATCGCCTAGCGACGAGGACGACAGCCTGAGTTGATCCCATGGCGACCATTCGTCGCAGCCCACTTGCTCACCGCCTTCGCAACTCCATGTACCAACCGCATTTTCCATGTACTCCTCTCCGTGATCCAAATTCCGAGCCTTACCGTACAGCTCTATATCGCGTACAATGGCCGAGAGCCAGGTCTCGACGAGGCACACAAATCGCACAATTCTCTGTACGACTCGGAGCGGTGGCAAGAGAAACGCCAAGGCGAGTCTGCAGGCGGCGAGAGCGACGAGGGCGCGAAAGAGGAGGAGAAGCGAGCTGAACACGTGGATGATCTGCGAGGACATGGAGAGAATATCAGCCGCCGTACATCGCGCCGAACGAAGAAATGACGTCGACATTCGTCTATCTGTCGGGAAAGGTTTGAGTGGAAATTTGTGCCGGTGCGCATTCTTGGTTGCAGCGTTGCTAGGGAGGCCTTGTGCGATGGGCTTGCTGAAGATGATATTCCGCGTTGATATTCCGTCACTCCGAGAGCTGCTTCTGCAGCTATACGCTAGATCGACCATAGGTTCCAACAAGCATGTGCGACGAGTAACTCGAGAGATTCTAAAAACTCGCACCCATTTGGGTACTCCGTGCACTGATTCTAAAAACTCGCACCCATCACGCGCGCGCGGGAAGCGCTTTATTCCCGCTACACGCGGAAGGGGTGGCGGAACTGGAGAGGTTGAGGGGTGGGGGAAACCCGCGCGGTGGCTGTCGGTGCTCTGTTTGATGCTGACACCGCGGGAATATTGCCGCAATATCGAATGTGCTGAAATAGGAAATCGAAATTGTAATATGTAATTGTTGATCGATGCATCCGAGTTCGGTTGCATTTAGTCAATTCCATTTGCTGGCGGTCTCGGCTTAGCATATGACGAATTTCTTTGTGCTGGACAATTTTGGCACACTGCCTGACAATTCCCAACAGCCGCCAAAATGGTGGCATTGCTTCAGTCTGACAAACTAGACATCCCTTCCCTGCTTCAGTAGTGCATGTCCCACTCACCCAAGCTCGATCAGTGATATCCGCGCCGCACCGCGATCCATGACACGCGAAGCATTGACTAAATAAGAGGAATGCGAAGATCTTTGGGTCTGTTTTCATGGAGTCGCCGAGCTTATCGCCCCGTTGGCGCATCGTCAGTCGCGCTGAGTCCCTCTTATCGTCCCTTCGCCGTGTCGCGTCGAATCTAACGTTCAGCTGGGTGAATCCCCTCGTCGCACTTGGCTCTCGACGCCAGTTGTCGCCCGTAGATTTGCTTCCTCTGCCTGCTGACGTGGAGCCACGTGTGTGCGGGCAGCTCCTTTGGACGAAATGGGAGGAGGAACGAGCAGCAGGCGACGACAACGGCATGCGCGCATCACGCGGCGACGGTCAGACGAGTGGTGTGTGGGGAGAACCGTCTCAGTCGGACCGGGATTTCCATATAGACGGGCCGTCGTCGCGTGAACGGCGCAGGCGCAGCGCGCAGCGAGGAGCGCCGTCGCTGCTGCGATGCATGGTGGCCATCTTCGGCGCGGAATACCTCATGATCGGCGGCATCAAGGTGAGCTATCGTGGATTGGTGGTGGTAACCAGCGGATCAGGGTGGTAAGACGTGGAAACCGAGCAGTGACATAGTGGGGTGAACGCAAGGCACAAGAGCGCAGAGTACCTGGTGACCTGGGGGATGAAAGTGAGGAAAACACGTGGGTTGTAAGCGCCAGATCAGGGTGGTAAGACATGGAAGTGTACAATGAATGGCCATGTCACGATGACACAGTGGATTAAAAACCAAGGCAATCGCGCAGTCATCGTGTTACCTACGCCGTCTATTGCCCAACGCCATGCTCGTCCTCCTTCCCTGCGCTCCTCCGCCTTCTCATCCATCCCCCACCCCCCTCGCTCCTTCACCGCCCTCCCTCCTCACCCTCATTCATCAGCTGGTGAACGATGCGCTGGCCTTCGCGGGGCCGCTGCTGCTGCACCAACTCGTGTCCGTCCTCGACAGCGGCTCCCCTACCCTCACCCTGCACCCAGCTTCTCCGGCCCCTGCCACCCACGGTACTGTATTCACGCACTTGCTTCATCTCGCCCACCTCACTCCTGCTTTCCCTTCCACTCGCCGGTAATAGCTGTTCGCTTTTCGCGCCCTCCTCCTTCCGTTCCCCTCCCTCCGTTCCCCTCACTCCGTTCTCCTCCCGTCCCACTCGACCCTCGCTTCATTAAATCCCTCACTCGTGTGAGCACCACACCAGCCTTCCCTTCATTTCATCGCCTCCTCCTGGTTGCCCCTATGCGTTCCTGATCCATCCCACCCACCGTCCTGCCAGGGCCTGCCACGCTCCCCACGCCGTGGTCGTATGGCCTCGCTTGCGCTCTCGCCATCGGCGCCACCTCTGCCCTGAGGTCTGTGGGAGGGAGGGAGGGAGGCATGGTGAGCTTTGAGTACCTCAGAACTCATGGCATGGTGACTTCACGCATTCCGCACCCTCATGCTCGCCCCCCCTCCACCTGGTTACCCACCCATGAACAGCTGACTCGGTTATCCCTTGCTCCTCCTCCTGGGTGTTTCACACTCATCGCATGGCGTTTGTCAATAGGCGGCCACGTCTCACACCTCATCTCCCTCTTACTTCTTCCCATCCGTCGCACCACCCTCATCCCTCATTACTCATGCCTCACCCCAGGGCGTTCCTAGGTGCGCACTACTCGTACCGCCTGGCGCGCATGGGCCTCAAGCTGCGCGCCGCCATCGCCACCTGCGTCTTCGCCAAGGTGCCGCCCTCGCCTCGATTGCTCTCCTGTCGCCCTCGCCTCTCTTGCTGTCCTGTCGCCCGCTCTCTAGCCTTATAGTAGAAGAAGAAGCAACGCGGCCAACTCTCCTGGCTGAGGGCGTGCTGCTGAGTGCCTGCAGTGCCGGGACGAGTGGTTCCTGTTGCTGCCGCTGCCGCTGCCGCTGCCGCTGCCGCTGCTGCTGCTGCTGCTGTCAGTGCTGGGAGTGACTTCCTTCCACTGTGCCCATTAGCGTCATGTGCTCCCCCCCCTCCTCCCCCCCCTCCCCTGCCTCCCCAGGTGCTGGCAGTGAGCGCAGCACAGAGGGAGTCGTTCGAGGGTGGCGAGGTGCAGACGCTCATGAGTGTGGACGCGGATAGGCTTGTCAACCTTGTCATGTCGCTGCACGACCTGTGGGGGTGAGGCGTGTCAGTGGTTTCCACGTGATTCGCTTGAGTGGTAAGCATGTTGCATGAAAGGACTCGCCACTCTTCTGCAAGCATTACAATGTTCTCGTGTATATGGCCCATTTAATTCCTTCTGATTTTCTCCATAGAACTGTCTGTAGACAGTTATTATTCAGCCAACCCCAAGAGCCAATCTGGGGGCCTTATTGTGCCTTGTTGCGTTCCCCAATCCCTTGCTCCACATGCCCCAATCTTCCAGTCTGCCTCTGCAGATCCTTGTGGCGCTGCTGCTGCTCTACTGGCAGGTATGCACCACACCCTGTGCCATGACGGCACAGCAGCACATACCAGTGCACGCATTTTCCCCTCACCATCCTTGGCTGAACCTCCCAGCCCTCATTCCCCTATCACAACCCTCTTCCTGTCGTCTTCCCGCAGGTAAGCTACGCCTTTCTGGCTGGCCTCGCTGTTGTGCTGCTTCTCATCCCAGGTGCTCGCACCTTGAACTCTCTCGCTCTGCTGCTCTTTGCACACGCCATAAGCCATGCCATGCCCACACACCGGAAACTATGTTGCCTGCTGACCCATAGTGTCTCATTTTCCTGTTACATCCGCTCTCACAGAGAATTGCATGTGCCTCGGTCGGACCGCGTGTCATGCCAGATCTTATGTGTGCCATCATTTGCTTGCCTTGTGCCATGTGTCATGGCAATGGGCATGTGGAATGTGCATGTGTGTTATGCGCCTTGTGCTGTGCCGTGTGACATGTGTCATGTATCATGCGCATGTGCCTGTGCCATGTGCATGTGGTGAGTGCAGTGAACCGGTGGCTGGCGGGCCGGATAGGAGAGGCGAGCAAGCAGATGATGGCCAGCAAGGATGCCAGGTGAGAGACAGTCAGAGAGAGCAGGTCACAGATAGGGAGTGGCTGGGATTGCCATTGCTCAGCATGCAACCAGGAACCCTCACACTGCTCTTGGTCTCTCTCTTGCCGCCACACCATGTGACACCGCACTCACCGTGCCATGTCACCCTGCCACGTCATCAGGGTGCAGGCGATGCAGGAGCTGTTGGACCACGTGGCAGCAGTGCGCGCCATGGCCATGGAGGGCGCTCTGCTCTCCCGCATCAATGCCGCCCGCCACCTCGAGCTCTCTGCTCTCGCCGTGAGTGCACGTGTGTGTGCCTGTGGGCTGGGCTGGGCTGGGCGGGGCTGGGCTGGGCTGTGCAAGTACCTGCATGCATAGGGCATGCAATTCAAGCCGTCTCATACCTACACTGCATGCTCCTTTCCCTCCCGTTGCATGCCGCAGGTGCGCAAGTACCTGGACGCGTGGTGTGTGTACTTCTGGGCGTGCATACCTGTGCTCGTTCGAGTTCACTCCAAGTCACCCACCTGCTCCCCCCACCCCTGGTATCCATCAGGTGCGCAAGTACCTGGACGCGTGGTGTGTGTACTTCTGGGCGTTCACACCCGTTCTCTTCTCCCTCGCCACCTTCTCCTCGCTGCTGCTCCTTGGTCGCTCACTCAATGCCCCCGTGGTATGCCATTCGTTTTCCCTCTCTTGTCTGCTCTCTCTTCTCTCACCCACCCCCCTGTTTCTCATGTTGCTGGTTTTTGAGTCAACCAGAGAATCGATTTAGGTCTCAACTAGACATTTGAGTCAACTCAACAACGCCCTTTTTTCCTCACCCCTCTTCCCACCCCCCAGGTGTTCACGAGTGTAGCACTCTTCAACGTGCTGCTGGGGCCGCTCAACTCCTTCCCAATCTATCCCACGCCCTCCTTCCCTCACCGTTCAACAATCTATCCCTCAACAATCTGTTCCACAGGTGTTCACGAGTCTAGCAATCTTCAACGTGCTGCTGGGGCCGCTCAACTCCTTCCCAATCTATCCCACGCCCTCCTTCCCTCACCGTTCAACAATCTATCCCTCAACAATCTGTTCCACAGGTGTTCACGAGTCTAGCACTCTTCAACGTGCTGCTGGGGCCGCTCAACTCCTTCCCAATCTATCCCACGCCCTCCTTCCCTCACCGTTCAACAATCTATCCCTCAACAATCTGTTCCACAGGTGTTCACGAGTCTAGCACTCTTCAACGTGCTGCTGGGGCCGCTCAACTCCTTCCCCTGGGTCATCAACGGCATCGTCGAGGTAAGAAGAGTTGAGCCAAGGCCTCACTATGCCGTGCGCTCTCGTTGTCTGCATGTATTGTCCAGCTGCCTCGTTTTGAGATGCCTCGAAACTCTTCAACATGCTGCTGGGGTCATAGGCTCCACCGCCCGCTCAACTCCTTGTCGAAGTACTTGTCTCTCGCTCCCATTGTCGCCATGTGTTTGCGTGTGCGGTGCAGCGTATGAGCATGCGGTGCAGCGTATGAGCGTGCGGTGCAGCGTATGAGCGCGCGGTGCAGCGTATGAGCGGGTGGTGCAGTGTATGAGCGGGCGGTGCAGCGTATGAGCGGGCGGTGCAGCGTATGAGCGTGCGTTGCAGCGTATGAGTGGGCGTTGCAGTGTATGCTGCAAGTGTCTCCTCTGCCCAGTAGGTACAGGCTCATGTGTGCATCTATCGACGCTCTATCTCTGCCAGTCGACGCTCTATTTGTGAGTCGACGCTCTATCTGTGAGTCGACGCTCTATCTGAGCGTGCTAGCAACGCAGCAGAGCGTGCTAGCTGGACCACCGCGCGCGCGCCTGGACCAACGCGCGTGCCTGGACCACCACGCGCGCGCCTGGACCAACGCGCGCCCCTGGACCAACGCGCGCCCCTGGACCAACGCGCGCGCCTGGACCAACGCGCGCGCCTGGGCCAACGCGCGCGCCTGGACCAACGCGCGCCCCTGGACCAACGCGCGCGCCTGGACCAACGCGCGCGCCTGGACCAACGCGCGCGCGCCTGGACCAACGCGCGCGCGCCTGGACCAACGCGCGCGCGCCTGGACCAACGCGCGCGCCTGGACCAACGCGCGCGCCTGGACCAACGCGCGCGCCTGGACCAACGCGCGCGCCTGGACCAACGCGCGCGCCTGGACCAACGCGCGCGCCGGGACCAACGCGCGCGCCGGGACCAACGCGCGCGCCGGACCAACGCGCGCGCCGAGACCAACGCGCGCGCCTGGACCAACGCGCGCGCCTGGACCAACGCGCGCGCCTGGACCAACGCGCGCGCCTGGACCAAGGCGCGCGCCTGGACCAAGGCGCGCGCTTGGACAAACGCGCGCTCCTGGACAAACGCGCGCGCCTGGACCAACGCGCGCGCCTGGACCAACGCGCGCGCCTGGGCCAACGCGCGCGCCTGGGCCAACGCGCGCGCCTGGGCCAACGCGCGCGCCTGGGCCAACGCGCGCGCCTGGGCCAACGCGCGCGCCTGGGCCAACGCGCGCGCCTGGGCCAACGCGCGCGCCTGGACCAACGCGCGCGCCTGGACCAACGCGCGCGCCTGGACCAACGCGCGCGCCTGGACCAACGCGCGCGCCTGGACCAACGCGCGCGCCTGGACCAACGCGCGCGCCTGGACCAACGCGCGCGCCTGGACCAACGCGCGAGCCTGGACCAACGCGCGAGCCTGGACCAACGCGCGCGCCTGGACCAACGCGCGCGCCTGGACCAACGCGCGCGCGCCTGGACCAACGCGCGCGCGCCTGGACCAACGCGCGCGCCTGGACCAACGCGCGCGCCTGGACCAACGCGCGCGCCTCGACCAACGCCCGCGCCTCGACCAACGCGCGCGCCTCGACCAACGCGCGCGCCTCGACCAGCGCGCGCGCCTCGACCAACGCGCGCGCCTCGACCAACGCGCGCGCCTGGACCAACGCGCGCGCCTGGACCAACGCGCGCGCCTGGACCAACGCGCGCGCCTGGACCAACGCGCGCGCGTGGACCAACGCGCGCGCCTGGACCAACGCGCGCGCCTGGACCAACGCGCGCGCCTGGACCAACGCGCGCGCCTGGACCAACGCGCGCGCCTGGACCAACGCGCGCGCCTGGACCAACGCGCGCGCCTGGACCAACGCGCGCGCCTGGACCAACGCGCGCGCCTGGACCAACGCGCGCGCCTGGACCAACGCGCGCGCGCCTGGACCAACGCGCGCGCGCCTGGACCAACGCGCGCGCCTGGACAAACGCGCGCGCCTGGACCAACGCGCGCGCCTGGACCAACGCGCGCGCCTGGACCAACGCGCGCGCCTGGACCAACGCGCGCGCCTGGACCAACGCGCGCGCCTGGACCAACGCGCGCGCCTGGACCAACGCGCGCGCCTGGACCAACGCGCGCGCCTGGACCAACGCGCGCGCCTGGTCCAACGCGCGCGCCTGGACCAACGCGCGCGCGCCTGGACCAACGCGCGCGCCTGGACCAACGCGCGCGCGCCTGGACCAACGCGCGCGCCTGGACCAACGCGCGCGCCTGGACCAACGCGCGCGCCTGGACCAACGCGCGCGCCTGGACCAACGCGCGCGCCTGGACCAACGCGCGCGCCTGGACCAACGCGCGCGCCTGGTCCAACGCGCGCGCCTGGACCAACGCGCGCGCGCCTGGACCAACGCGCGCGCCTGGACCAACGCGCGCGCCAGTACCAACGCGCGCGCCAGTACCAACGCGCGCGCCTGGACCAACGCGCGCGCCTGGACCAACGCGCGCGCCTGGACCAACGCGCGCGCGCCTGGACCAACACGCGCGCCTGGAGAAAGAGGAGCGGAGCGCTGGCGAGGAGAGAGAGGAGCGGAGCGCTGGCGAGGAGAGAGAGGAGCGGAGCGCTGGCGAGGAGAGAGAGGAGCGGAGCGCTGGCGAGGAGAGAGAGGAGCGGAGCGCTGGCGAGGAGAGAGAGGAGCGGAGCGCTGGCGAGGAGAGAGAGGAGCGGAGCGCTGGCGAGGAGAGAGAGGAGCGGAGCGCTGGCGAGGAGAGAGAGGAGCGGAGCGCTGGCGAGGAGAGAGAGGAGCGGAGCGCTGGCGAGGAGAGAGAGGAGCGGAGCGCTGGCGAGGAGAGAGAGGAGCGGAGCGCTGGCGAGGAGAGAGAGGAGCGGAGCGCTGGCGAGGAGAGAGAGGAGCGGAGCGCTGGCGAGGAGAGAGAGGAGCGGAGCGCTGGCGAGGAGAGAGAGGAGCGGAGCGCTGGCGAGGAGAGAGAGGAGCGGAGCGCTGGCGAGGAGAGAGAGGAGCGGAGCGCTGGCGAGGAGATAGAGGAGCGGAGCGCTGGCGAGGAGAGAGAGGAGCGGAGCGCTGGCGAGGAGAGAGAGGAGCGGAGCGCTGGCGAGGAGAGAGAGGAGCGGAGCGCTGGCGAGGAGAGAGAGGAGCGGAGCGCTGGCGAGGAGAGAGAGGAGCGGAGCGCTGGCGAGGAGAGAGAGGAGCGGAGCGCTGGCGAGGAGAGAGAGGAGCGGAGCGCTGGCGAGGAGAGAGAGGAGCGGAGCGCTGGCGAGGAGAGAGAGGAGCGGAGCGCTGGCGAGGAGAGAGAGGAGCGGAGCGCTGGCGAGGAGAGAGAGGAGCGGAGCGCTGGCGAGGAGAGAGAGGAGCGGAGCGCTGGCGAGGAGAGAGAGGAGCGGAGCGCTGGCGAGGAGAGAGAGGAGCGGAGCGCTGGCGAGGAGAGAGAGGAGCGGAGCGCTGGCGAGGAGAGAGAGGAGCGGAGCGGTGGCGAGGAGAGAGAGGAGCGGAGCGGTGGCGAGGAGAGAGAGGAGCGGAGCGGTGGCGAGGAGATAGAGGAGCGGAGCGGTGGCGAGGAGAGAGAGGAGCGGAGCGGTGGCGAGGAGAGAGAGGAGCGGAGCGGTGGCGAGGAGAGAGAGGAGCGGAGCGGTGGCGAGGAGAGAGAGGAGCGGAGCGGTGGCGAGGAGAGAGAGGAGCGGAGCGGTGGCGAGGAGAGAGAGGAGCGGAGCGGTGGCGAGGAGAGAGAGGAGCGGAGCGGTGGCGAGGAGAGAGAGGAGCGGAGCGGTGGCGAGGAGAGAGAGGAGCGGAGCGGTGGCGAGGAGAGAGAGGAGCGGAGCGGTGGCGAGGAGAGAGAGGAGCGGAGCGGTGGCGAGGAGAGAGAGGAGCGGAGCGGTGGCGAGGAGAGAGAGGAGCGGAGCGGTGGCGAGGAGAGAGAGGAGCGGAGCGGTGGCGAGGAGAGAGAGGAGCGGAGCGGTGGCGAGGAGAGAGAGGAGCGGAGCGGTGGCGAGGAGAGAGAGGAGCGGAGCGGTGGCGAGGAGAGAGAGGAGCGGAGCGGTGGCGAGGAGAGAGAGGAGCGGAGCGGTGGCGAGGAGAGAGAGGAGCGGAGCGGTGGCGAGGAGAGAGAGGAGCGGAGCGGTGGCGAGGAGAGAGAGGAGCGGAGCGGTGGCGAGGAGAGAGAGGAGCGGAGCGGTGGCGAGGAGAGAGAGGAGCGGAGCGGTGGCGAGGAGAGAGAGGAGCGGAGCGGTGGCGAGGAGAGAGAGGAGCGGAGCGGTGGCGAGGAGAGAGAGGAGCGGAGCGGTGGCGAGGAGAGAGAGGAGCGGAGCGGTGGCGAGGAGAGAGAGGAGCGGAGCGGTGGCGAGGTGAGAGAGGAGCGGAGCGGTGGCGAGGAGAGAGAGGAGCGGAGCGGTGGCGAGGAGAGAGAGGAGCGGAGCGGTGGCGAGGAGAGAGAGGAGCGGAGCGGTGGCGAGGAGAGAGAGGAGCGGAGCGGTGGCGAGGAGAGAGAGGAGCGGAGCGGTGGCGAGGAGAGAGAGGAGCGGAGCGGTGGCGAGGAGAGAGAGGAGCGGAGCGGTGGCGAGGAGAGAGAGGAGCGGAGCGGTGGCGAGGAGAGAGAGGAGCGGAGCGGTGGCGAGGAGAGAGAGGAGCGGAGCGGTGGCGAGGAGAGAGAGGAGCGGAGCGGTGGCGAGGAGAGAGAGGAGCGGAGCGGTGGCGAGGAGAGAGAGGAGCGGAGCGGTGGCGAGGAGAGAGAGGAGCGGAGCGGTGGCGAGGAGAGAGAGGAGCGGAGCGGTGGCGAGGAGAGAGAGGAGCGGAGCGGTGGCGAGGAGAGAGAGGAGCGGAGCGGTGGCGAGGAGAGAGAGGAGCGGAGCGGTGGCGAGGAGAGAGAGGAGCGGAGCGGTGGCGAGGAGAGAGAGGAGCGGAGCGGTGGCGAGGAGAGAGAGGAGCGGAGCGGTGGCGAGGAGAGAGAGGAGCGGAGCGGTGGCGAGGTGAGAGAGGAGCGGAGCGGTGGCGAGGAGAGAGAGGAGCGGAGCGGTGGCGAGGAGAGAGAGGAGCGGAGCGGTGGCGAGGAGAGAGAGGAGCGGAGCGGTGGCGAGGAGAGAGAGGAGCGGAGCGGTGGCGAGGAGAGAGAGGAGCGGAGCGGTGGCGAGGAGAGAGAGGAGCGGAGCGGTGGCGAGGAGAGAGAGGAGCGGAGCGGTGGCGAGGAGAGAGAGGAGCGGAGCGGTGGCGAGGAGAGAGAGGAGCGGAGCGGAGGCGAGGAGAGAGAGGAGCGGAGCGGTGGCGAGGAGAGAGAGGAGCGGAGCGGTGGCGAGGAGAGAGAGGAGCGGAGCGGTGGCGAGGAGAGAGAGGAGCGGAGCGGTGGCGAGGAGAGAGAGGAGCGGAGCGGTGGCGAGGAGAGAGAGGAGCGGTGCGGTGGCGAGGAGATAGAGGAGCGGAGCGGTGGCGAGGTGAGAGAGGAGCGGAGCGGTGGCGAGGAGAGAGAGGAGCGGAGCGGTGGCGAGGAGAGAGAGGAGCGGAGCGCTGACGAGGAGAGAGAGGAGCGGAGCGGTGACGAGGAGAGAGAGGAGCGGAGCGGTGGCGAGGAGAGAGAGGAGCGGAGCGGTGGCGAGGAGAGAGAGGAGCGGAGCGGTGGCGAGGAGAGAGAGGAGCGGAGCGGTGGCGAGGAGAGAGAGGAGCGGAGCGGTGGCGAGGAGAGAGAGGAGCGGAGCGGTGGCGAGGAGAGAGAGGAGCGGAGCGGTGGCGAGGAGAGAGAGGAGCGGAGCGGTGGCGAGGAGAGAGAGGAGCGGAGCGGTGGCGAGGAGAGAGAGGAGCGGAGCGGTGGCGAGGAGAGAGAGGAGCGGAGCGGTGGCGAGGAGAGAGAGGAGCGGAGCGGTGGCGAGGAGAGAGAGGAGCGGAGCGGTGGCGAGGAGAGAGAGGAGCGGAGCGGTGGCGAGGAGAGAGAGGAGCGGAGCGGTGGCGAGGAGAGAGAGGAGCGGAGCGGTGGCGAGGAGAGAGAGGAGCGGAGCGGTGGCGAGGAGAGAGAGGAGCGGAGCGGTGGCGAGGAGAGAGAGGAGCGGAGCGGTGGCGAGGAGAGAGAGGAGCGGAGCGGTGGCGAGGAGAGAGAGGAGCGGAGCGGTGGCGAGGAGAGAGAGGAGCGGAGCGGTGGCGAGGAGAGAGAGGAGCGGAGCGGTGGCGAGGAGAGAGAGGAGCGGAGCGGTGGCGAGGAGAGAAGAGGAGCGGAGCGGTGGCGAGGAGAGAGAGGAGCGGAGCGGTGGCGAGGAGAGAGAGGAGCGGAGCGGTGGCGAGGTGAGAGAGGAGCGGAGCGGTGGCGAGGTGAGAGAGGAGCGGAGCGGTGGCGAGGAGAGAGAGGAGCGGAGCGGTGGCGAGGAGAGAGAGGAGCGGAGCGGTGGCGAGGAGAGAGAGGAGCGGAGCGGTGGCGAGGAGAGAGAGGAGCGGAGCGGTGGCGAGGAGAGAGAGGAGCGGAGCGGTGGCGAGGTGAGAGAGGAGCGGAGCGGTGGCGAGGAGAGAGAGGAGCGGAGCGGTGGCGAGGAGAGAGAGGAGCGGAGCGGTGGCGAGGAGAGAGAGGAGCGGAGCGGTGGCGAGGAGAGAGAGGAGCGGAGCGGTGGCGAGGAGAGAGAGGAGCGGAGCGGTGGCGAGGAGAGAGAGGAGCGGAGCGGTGGCGAGGAGAGAGAGGAGCGGAGCGGTGGCGAGGAGAGAGAGGAGCGGAGCGGTGGCGAGGAGAGAGAGGAGCGGAGCGGTGGCGAGGTGAGAGAGGAGCGGAGCGGTGGCGAGGTGAGAGAGGAGCGGAGCGGTGGCGAGGAGAGAGAGGAGCGGAGCGGTGGCGAGGAGAGAGAGGAGCGGAGCGGTGGCGAGGAGAGAGAGGAGCGGAGCGGTGGCGAGGTGAGAGAGGAGCGGAGCGGTGGCGAGGTGAGAGAGGAGCGGAGCGGTGGCGAGGAGAGAGAGGAGCGGAGCGGTGGCGAGGAGAGAGAGGAGCGGAGCGGTGGCGAGGAGAGAGAGGAGCGGAGCGGTGGCGAGGAGAGAGAGGAGCGGAGCGGTGGCGAGGAGAGAGAGGAGCGGAGCGGTGGCGAGGAGAGAGAGGAGCGGAGCGGTGGCGAGGAGAGAGAGGAGCGGAGCGGTGGCGAGGAGAGAGAGGAGCGGAGCGGTGGCGAGGAGAGAGAGGAGCGGAACGGTGGCGAGGAGAGAGAGGAGCGGAGCGGTGGCGAGGAGAGAGAGGAGCGGAGCGGTGGCGAGGAGAGAGAGGAGCGGAGCGGTGGCGAGGAGAGAGAGGAGCGGAGCGGTGGCGAGGAGAGAGAGGAGCGGAGCGGTGGCGAGGAGAGAGAGGAGCGGAGCGGTGGCGAGGAGAGAGAGGAGCGGAGCGGTGGCGAGGAGAGAGAGGAGCGGAGCGGTGGCGAGGAGAGAGAGGAGCGGAGCGGTGGCGAGGAGAGAGAGGAGCGGAGCGGTGGCGAGGAGAGAGAGGAGCGGAGCGGTGGCGAGGAGAGAGAGGAGCGGAGCGGTGGCGAGGAGAGAGAGGAGCGGAGCGGTGGCGAGGAGAGAGAGGAGCGGAGCGGTGGCGAGGAGAGAGAGGAGCGGAGCGGTGGCGAGGAGAGAGAGGAGCGGAGCGCTGGCGAGGAGAGAGAGGAGCGGAACGCGCTGGCGAGGAGAGAGAGGAGCGGAGCGCTGGCGAGGAGAGAGAGGAGCGGAGCGCTGGCGAGGAGAGAGAGGAGCGGAGCGCTGGCGAGGAGAGAGAGGAGCGGAGCGCTGGCGAGGAGAGAGAGGAGCGGAGCGCTGGCGAGGAGAGAGAGGAGCGGAGCGCTGGCGAGGAGAGAGAGGAGCGGAGCGCTGGCGAGGAGAGAGAGGAGCGGAGCGCTGGCGAGGAGAGAGAGGAGCGGAGCGCTGGCGAGGAGAGAGAGGAGCGGAGCGCTGGCGAGGAGAGAGAGGAGCGGAGCGCTGGCGAGGAGAGAGAGGAGCGGAGCGGTGGCGAGGAGAGAGAGGAGCGGAGCGGTGGCGAGGAGAGAGAGGAGCGGAGCGGTGGCGAGGAGAGAGAGGAGCGGAGCGGTGGCGAGGAGAGAGAGGAGCGGAGCGGTGGCGAGGAGAGAGAGGAGCGGAGCGGTGGCGAGGAGAGAGAGGAGCGGAGCGGTGGCGAGGAGAGAGAGGAGCGGAGCGGTGGCGAGGTGAGAGAGGAGCGGAGCGGTGGCGAGGTGAGAGAGGAGCGGAGCGGTGGCGAGGAGAGAGAGGAGCGGAGCGGTGGCGAGGAGAGAGAGGAGCGGAGCGGTGGCGAGGAGAGAGAGGAGCGGAGCGGTGGCGAGGAGAGAGAGGAGCGGAGCGGTGGCGAGGAGAGAGAGGAGCGGAGCGGTGGCGAGGAGAGAGAGGAGCGGAGCGGTGGCGAGGAGAGAGAGGAGCGGAGCGGTGGCGAGGAGAGAGAGGAGCGGAGCGGTGGCGAGGAGAGAGAGGAGCGGAACGGTGGCGAGGAGAGAGAGGAGCGGAGCGGTGGCGAGGAGAGAGAGGAGCGGAGCGGTGGCGAGGAGAGAGAGGAGCGGAGCGGTGGCGAGGAGAGAGAGGAGCGGAGCGGTGGCGAGGAGAGAGGAGCGAGCGGTGGCGAGGAGAGAGAGGAGCGGAGCGGTGGCGAGGAGAGAGAGGAGCGGAGCGGTGGCGAGGAGAGAGAGGAGCGGAGCGGTGGCGAGGAGAGAGAGGAGCGGAGCGGTGGCGAGGAGAGAGAGGAGCGGAGCGGTGGCGAGGAGAGAGAGGAGCGGAGCGGTGGCGAGGAGAGAGAGGAGCGGAGCGGTGGCGAGGAGAGAGAGGAGCGGAGCGGTGGCGAGGAGAGAGAGGAGCGGAGCGGTGGCGAGGAGAGAGAGGAGCGGAACGCTGGCGAGGAGAGAGAGGAGCGGAGCGCTGGCGAGGAGAGAGAGGAGCGGAGCGCTGGCGAGGAGAGAGAGGAGCGGAGCGCTGGCGAGGAGAGAGAGGAGCGGAGCGCTGGCGAGGAGAGAGAGGAGCGGAGCGCTGGCGAGGAGAGAGAGGAGCGGAGCGCTGGCGAGGAGAGAGAGGAGCGGAGCGCTGGCGAGGAGAGAGAGGAGCGGAGCGCTGGCGAGGAGAGAGAGGAGCGGAGCGCTGGCGAGGAGAGAGAGGAGCGGAGCGCTGGCGAGGAGAGAGAGGAGCGGAGCGCTGGCGAGGAGAGAGAGGAGCGGAGCGCTGGCGAGGAGAGAGAGGAGCGGAACGCTGGCGAGGAGAGAGAGGAGCGGAGCGGTGGCGAGGAGAGAGAGGAGCGGAGCGGTGGCGAGGAGAGAGAGGAGCGGAGCGGTGGCGAGGAGAGAGAGGAGCGGAGCGGTGGCGAGGAGAGAGAGGAGCGGAGCGGTGGCGAGGAGAGAGCGGGGCGGAGCGGTGGCGAGGAGAGAGAG